GAGCCGCCTCCTCCAGAGCTGCACCCACCTTCCCCAGGGCTGTTAGAGCTGCGCTGACAGCAGGAAAGGTGTCGCAAGGAGAGTGTTTTGTTTCAAAGCTCTTCAACAGGTAGTCTTTGGGGCAGGTACATCCTCAGTGCTGTTACTCTTCTGGTTTAACGTTCATTCACAATGGCCACAGTAAACCCCTGCCGTTTGCCAGCCTTTTCCCATGCAAAAAGGCAAGAAGTACACAGCATGCACTTGAACTACATGCAAACAAACAGAATGCAGAGCCCGCGGGAACGCCTACAACTGTGGCTGTCAAGCTGTCCTTCCTTCTTCAGGTATAAGTCAGTTGCATACCCTGGTGGGCAGATTCCTGTGCCACACTGACCTGTAAGCGAGAGACCTTTTTTGGATGCACCTTCCAGTACTTAGTGGTTATTTCTCCTGTCTTTCATGCTGCACTTAACATGAATATGTTCTACCAGAATATGCCTTTTCCTGTATCACATTACTGTCTGGCCTCTCTTACACAGAGGGATAATAAACTCTTCACAAGAGGTTTTCTTTAGATTGTTTGTACAGGCATTTAACCGTCTTCTCCTTTCTAAATCAGAGCTTCCACATGCACATTAATGTAGGGCCCGATTCTACCGAATTGTGCACGCCCTTAACACCCAGCTCCTTCAGCAAGAATGTCTGGAGCAACCTTATGCAAACGCATGTGAAGGTGACATTCCTTAGCGGCTCACCCTTTCAAACTCACTCACATGTACTTAAAAGATAAGCCAAGACACTTCCACCATATATTATACCGGGTGTGATAGTAAAAAAACTGAGTGATGGTTTCAAGAAGTAGAAGTGAGCTGGTAATAAATGGGATGGTCCCATTTGTCCTGTGAATGAGGAGGACAAGAAAGTTGCTTACTGGAATGCCAAGTACAGTGACACCTTTTCACCTGTCCCCTAACTAATGTACATCTCCCACCATGACATGGCAGAGGAGCATTTCCTTTGCAATAAAAGCCTTGTGAAGTGTTGCACTGTGCATTTGTAGTGATTAAAAACTCTGGAGTAGGCAATTCTTACTGGTTTTAAAGAGTAAGGTATTTTATTATGGAAGTTCATCTTCATAACAATGTGTGCAGAAAGTGACTGACAATCATTAACCAAAAAAAAAAGCTTGTTTCAGGATAACAAAAAGGATGAGTATTTACATAACTTTCTACCACAAACAATGAAATACCTGAAACAGTTGAGGCAGTAAATATTCCTTTCATGTCTTGGGAGATTACTGAACAATAACTTGACATTGTACTGACACATACCAACAGGGGTTCAAGATGTTTAGATAGCCCTCACCAAGCTGTACACTGCAGGAGGTCAAAAAATGTTGGATGTGCACTTATATGAACTATGTGTCTGTTGTTTTTACTCATGAAATTGATCTCTTACAGGGAACTTTAGGAAAAATGCTTTAGTATGAAAAAAACCCCAAACCTCTACAATACAATGTTTTGATATCTGTAGCAGTGATTTTATCCAGAACTACCTCAAACGTTTGTTAGCACTTAACATATCCCAGGACTCTTCCCAAACTACTCTCTGCTTCCAGTCACAGTTGTACCTAAACCAAAATCATCACTGACAAAACCAAGAATATCACATACTGCTCTGAAATATTTTAAAACCCCAAAATCAGGTCTATGAATTACTGCATGTATACAAGAGGTACTTGCCAACAAGTGTATTTAAATAATAAGAAAAATCCCATAACATTTATACCTAATTTACAAATATCCCAACATTACAGAAATAATGCTGTTGGCTTTATGTAGGAAATGCTCGTTACAGAGGTTGGAAAATGAAAAGCAATACATAATTGAGCCCTTGTTAAAGGTATGAATCAGAAAATGGAGACATTCTTGCTTGCACCTGTCCCCTAAACTATCTGTTTTTTTTCCTCTCTCTGCTTCTGCTTCTACTGTGTCTGCTCCTTTCTCTGTGTTCCACTTTACTGCACTTGTCCCCATAGCTCTCTCTACATTTTTTCTTCTCTCTGTGCACATCTGTGCTGGGGCTTCTGGTTTCATTTTTCCTGTGCCGCTCTTCACCAGGGCTTTGACTTGGACTTTTTCTCATTTGTCGTTGCCTGGAAATGCTGTGACTTCTGCAAGGGCTTCTCCTGCTCCTCTCATCCATGCTTTGGCTTCTGCCATCACTCTCCTTTCTTTCAGTTTCTCTCTTGTCCATGCTATGGTACCTGCTTTTGGACTTTCTTTCCCCCTCACAGGAGCTCCATTTGTTGTTCTCCGCAGAACTATCTTGCTTTAAAAGTTCGTACTTCTCCCTGTCTTTGTCCTTGTTACTGTGACTACTGGAAAGATCTTCATAAAGTTTTTCCCTCCTCGTCTTTGCCTTTCCTTCTGAGTCGCTGCTGCTGCTAGCTTCTGAAAACTTGTCTTTTTTTCTTTTCTTAGAATACGTCTTCTTTTGTGCTGCTTTATCTCTGCTGTCAGTCTCGCTGTCACTGCTGCTTACTGAAGTCTCACTGGAGGATGAGGAAGAGGATCTCATCTTATGTTTCTTGTGTTTACTTTTGCTTTTTTTCTTTTGCTGCTTTTTCTTCTTTCTGTCTTTCTTTTTCTTTTTCTTCTCCAGACGATCCAACTTCCTTTTATTTTCAAAACAGAAGAGTAGCACAATCAGACATGTGAAGATATTCTAAATTGCAAAGTCACTGTCTTTAAAGTTCACTACCTCTGATGGCCTATGAAGTAAATACACTATTTTCCATAAAAACATGTTGTATTCCTCTCCTCTTTCAGCAAAGTATTATTTTTAAATTTCTAACCTGACATTAACCATAGTTAGAATCCTCCTGTAATTGACAGATGCTTCCTCAAAACAGGAAGAATATGATCTTTTTAATTATCTGATTTTAAAAAAGGTCAGTAAGATATGTCCATTTTGGCCTTGTAACTAGGAATAAATACATTCAGTAGTACTTTTTTTCCTTGGCAGCCTGCTCTGGGGACTGTGGAAAATCACTGCTGCTTTTGTTTGTGCATTTTTATAAGAGATTTTGAAAATGAAAACACACAATTAGTATTCACTTTCTATTAATGATGGAAACTGAGATGCTGAAGCCTACATTTCTCCAGGCAAATAATACCAATCTTTTCAATAACGTCTTCAGTGACAACTAGAAATTTACATTGTCCGGCCATAAGTACAATATTCCATCATGCACATGCATTCACTTCTATTTGACTTTCACCTAGTTTTTCTTTTGCTTTCTGTTTCTTCTTCCCCAAAAAATCAATGACTGAGTAGTGAAATTACTTTCAGCATATTAAAAAAAAAAATCCCTTCAGACTAGTAAATTCTAAAGGACCCAAATATTTACTGAATTTCAACTTTCAAAATAAAAAATACTATAATTTCATTGTGTTGGGCCAGCATAATTTCAAACAAAATACCGATTTAAAGTACTCCAATTACAGACACACTCCTTACTTAAAAGGAACATAAAAAATGCCAAGTCTTTTCAGAGAATGATTTATATCATATATATAATATATATATCAT